GGCGGCAGCGCGCCGCTCCTCACTCCTCCTCCTTTCCCCCGACGACTGCTCCCTTGCAGACGCTCCATATGGACGTGTGGGGCCCAGCCCGCGTCCGTGGTCAGGGTCAGGAGAGGTACTTCCTGATAGTTGTTGACGACTTCTCGCGCTTCACCACGGTCTTCCCCTTGCGCACCAAGGGTGAGGTCCCTGGTGTTTTGATCCCTTGGATCAGCAGAGCTCGTCTCCAGCTAGGCAAGCGTTTTCACTCGGACTTTCCTGTCCTGCGCTTGCACTCTGACAGAGGTGGTGAGTTCTCCTCCGACCTCTTGGCAGCCTACTGTGCCGAGCACGGCATTGAGCAGTCGTTCACACTTCCGGCCTCTCCACAGCAGAATGGGGTTGTTGAGCGCCGCATTGGCTTGGTCATGGAGGTCGCTCGTACCTCCCTGATCCATGCGGCTGCTCCCCACTTTCTGTGGCCGTTTGCGGTCCGATACGCTGCGCATCAGCTCAACCTCTGGCCTCGTGCCTCCTTGACAGAGACTACCCCGACACTGCGTTGGATGGGAGAGGTTGGCGATGCGTCGCGTTTTCGGGTCTGGGGATCCCGAGCTTTTGTTCGCGACACGTCCGCGGACAAGCTCTCCCAACGCGCTGTCCCCTGTGTCTTTCTTGGCTTTGTCCCGGACGCGCCTGGTTGGCAGTTTTACCACGTCACCTCGCGCCGGGTTCTGCCTTCTCAGGACGTCACTTTTGACGAGTCCGTCCCCTACTACCGCCTCTTCCCCTACCGCACTGCCCCGCTCCCCCCCCCCGCCTCTCTTCCTCGCGCCAGGTGCTGCTGTGGTAGACCCCCTCCCCCCTCAGGGTGCCGCTCCCTCAGGTGTGTCCCAGGTAGACCCGGTTGAGCCTGTCGAAGTAACTGTCGACTCTCGTCCTGCTAGGGGTGCTGAGCCTGCGCGTGAGGAGCCTGGCGGTGCTGAGTCTGGGGGTGCGGAGCCTGGGGGTGCTGAGCCTGGAGGTGCGGAGCCTGGGGGTGCGGAGCCTGGTGGTGCTGAGCCTGGAGGTATGGAGCCTGGGGGTGCTGAGTCTGGGGGTGCTGAGTCTGGAGGTGCTGAGCCTGAGAGTGCTACACCTGGAGGAGCCCTCTCCTCACAGCAGCTGCAGGAGAGGTACCTGCAGTACTGCAGCCTCCGGAGAGGTGCTGCTGGAGCTGGTGCCAGTGCTTCTCCTCCTACCCGGGAGCTCCCCTCCCTTCCAGATCCCTTCAGCAGATACACGCGGCGCTGCAGTCTTCGGAGTGGTGCTCCTGGTGCTGCGGACCCTGGAGTTGGAGCTGCTGCTGGTGCTGAGGACCCGGGCGGTGGAGCTACTGCTGGTGCTGAGGACCCGGATACTGGAGCTGCTGCTGGTGCTGAGGACCCGGGCGGTGGAGCTGCTGCTGGTGCTGAGGACCCGGGCGGTGGCGCTGCTGCTGGAGCTGAGGACCCGAGCGGTGGAGCTGCTGCTGGTGCTGAGGACCCGGGCGGTGGAGCTACTGCTGGTGCTGAGGACCCTGGCGCTGGTGTCTCTGCTGCTTCTGGAGACACTGTGCGGCCACGACCGTACTTCGTACCGCTCCTTCAACAGTTTCTTGGTCAGGCTCCTCCTCCTTGTCCTCCTCCCTCCGTAGAGTGTCCTCCGCCTGTCCAGTCGCAGTCCCAGTTACCGCCTGCCTCGCCTCTCCCTGGTCCCTCTCCTTACACTGGTCCCACAGGAGGTCTTACAGAGCGTCGTGAGCCTGAGTCTCGTCCTGCGTCACCTGTTCGTACTGCTCGCACTGGTCGTCGTGTCCCGCGTGAGCGTCCTCCTCCTGTCCCTGGCACTCACTACATGACTCTGCGTCCCTCCACTGCTCCTCAGCGTGTCCCTCTGCTGTCTCCTCCTGCGTCCTCCCTACCTACTCTTCCTGACCCGGAGTCTGACTCCCGTCGTGCTGCCAGTCCCACTGTCACGCGTCTCCTCGCCACTGTTGTCACTGACCCTACCTTTGAGTCCTCTGCTGCGTCTGCTCTGGTCGCTGAGTTGGTTGACTTTGCTGCCCGGTGTCGTCTAGACTACGCCGCTAGCCTTGTTGCTGAGTCTGAGTCTGAGTCTGTCTGTCCTCCGTCCGTCGGGGGTGAGTGTGCTCTTGGCATGGACGTCCTTGAGGACAGACAGGAGGAGTTCCAGTGCTTTGCTGCTGCTTTGCCCCATCTCGTGTCCATGCTAGTTGCCCCTGAGGGAGACCCGGATGCACCAGACATCCCGACCCCGCGCTCTTACGCTGAGGCAATGGCGGGTCCCTACTCCTCTCAGTGGCAGACAGCCATGGACGCAGAGATGGCTTCCTGGAAGTCCACAGGCACCTACGTCGACGAGGTTCCCCCACCTGGGGCGAACATCGTCAGTGGGATGTGGATTTTCAGGGTGAAGCGGCCGCCGGGTTCTCCTCCTGTCTTCAAGGCGCGCTATGTTGCTCGAGGCTTCAGTCAGCGAGACTTCTTCCAGACCTTCTCCCCCACCCCGAAGATGACTACTCTTCGGGTGCTGCTGCACATAGCCGCTCAGCGCGACTACGAGCTTCACTCACTTGACTTCAGCACTGCTTTCTTGCAGGGCAGCCTGCACGAGGAGATCTGGCTGCGCCGCCCTCCTGGCTTCATTGGGTCGTTTCCTCCTGGTACCCAGTGGAGGCTCCAGCGGCCGGTCTACGGTCTCCGACAGGCTCCACGTGAGTGGCACGACACACTGAGGACGACACTTGCGGCACTTGGGTTCGCACCTTCTACTGCTGACCCGTCGCTGTTTCTGCGCACCGACACCTCGCTCCCGCCGTTCTACATCCTCGTGTACGTCGACGACTTGGTCTTTGCCACTGCTGACACTGAGGCTCTCGCCCACGTGAAGTCGGAGCTGCAGAGGAGACACACGTGCACAGACCTGGGTGAACTGACAAGCTACCTTGGCTTGCGGATCACCCGGGACAGAGCACGGCGCACCATCACCTTGACTCAGTCACACATGGTGCAGCAGATCCTTCAGCGCTTCCGCTTCACGTACTCCTCGCCTCAGTCCACTCCTCTGCCTACCGGTCACTCGCTCTCAGCTCTGCCTTCGGATGAGTCCGTAGAGCCGAGTGGCCCGTATCCAGAGCTTGTGGGCTGCCTCATGTACCTGATGACCTGCACTCGACCTGACCTTGCATACCCTCTTAGCATCCTTGCACGCTATGTCGCTCCTGGCCGTCACAGGAAGGAGCACATGGATGCTGCTAAGAGGGTGTTGCGCTACTTGTGCAGTACGTCGAGCATGGGGCTAGTGCTTGGAGGGCGAGACCGAGTTGTACTCACTGGACACTCAGACGCTTCTTGGGCGGACGACCAGGCTACTCAGCGGTCGTCTCAGGGTTACACCTTCAGCCTTGGCTCCGGCTCAGTTTCTTGGCGTTCCACACGCTCTTCTTCTGTTCTCAGCTCCAGTTGTGAGGCTGAGATCTACGCCACAGCCATGGCGGCCCAGGAGCTACGCTGGCTGACCTACCTGCTGACCGACTTGGGAGAGCGGCCTCGTTCTCCTCCAGTGCTGTACGTCGACAACAAGGCTGCCATTGCCTTGTGTGAGAAGCACAGACTGGAGCACAGAACGAAGCACATCGCCCTGCGGTACTTCCTTGCTCGAGAGCTGCAGCAGCGCGGTCAGCTTTGTCTGCGTTACGTGGCCACTGAGGCCAACACTGCTGATGTGTTCACCAAGGCGCTTCAGCCTTGTGACCATCAGCGCTTTTGCACTCTGCTAGGCCTTGTGCCTACTGGACCTCACTTGCTTACTTCTTGACTCTGTTTGTACTGTGATCTCTATATATATACCTGCATGTTTACTCTTGCTAGGTTGTGATCATTGTACCTCTTGCTCTATTATAAACATGCATGTGAACTGGTCTTGTGACCACTTGCTTGTGCTCGGAATTTGTGTGGAATCCTTGAGATCCACCCTGAGCTTGTTGTGTCCTGCTTTGCCTTGACCGGTCTTGTGACCCCTAGTTCTCCCCCACTTCGCCTATGGGGGTGTGTCAAACATTATATATGTTGTGTTTGTTTAGGCTGCAGTGGGTTAGCCTATAGGGGGTACACGATTCTAGGGTTAGGTACTTGTACTGATTTCACTGTTAGTTCAATCATTCCTGTCCGTTCATTCTGACACCCCCCACACCTCCCACTCCCCACCCTCACATTCACCACACCTCACCTCCTCTCATCTCATTCCCCCCTTCACGTCGCCACACCTCACCTCCTCTCATCTCATTCCCCCCTTCACGTCGCCACACCTCACCTCCTCTCATCTCATTCCCCCCTTCACGTCGCCACACCTCACCTCCTCTCATCTCATTCCCCCCCTCACATCGCCATGCCTCACCTCCTCTCGTTCCCTCCCTCACATCGTCACGCCTCACCTGCTCGAAAGTGGTGCGGAAAGTAGTCCTTCACCCCCTCCCTGACTTTCTACCCCACTAGTCTGCATCTCCTCCCATCCTCCCATCACATCGCCACGCCCCTGCTGCCGTGCAGCTGCGGTTGCAGGCACCTGCCTCGACTGCTGCACTGCTGCTGCTCTTCCTACGCTTCTCCGCCTCGTTTTGCTGCTGGGGCTGCTGTTGAGGCCGCTGCTACGAGTGCTGCTGCCCCTGATCCTCGTTCATTGTATCTAGGCTTGAGGTTCGTCTTGCCACCTCGCTAGCAGGCCCTCTCCGCCGTCCGATGCGTCTAGCTCGGCCTCTCGGATCGTACGTCTACGTGAACGATGCGCTGTTGCGGCTTCTCGTGCATCGTCGCCTGATCTGGAAAGATTGCGGGCGACGTTTTGGTCGAGCGCGACGCGCTCTCTGACGATCGCAGCGCGTCTGGGGCGGCTGATTTCATTTCGGCTGTGCTGTGACGGCGCCCTGAGAGCTGACAACTCGCGTCATTCTGCCCATGATCAACGGCGCATCTGAACGGCGTATGGATTTGCCACGTGTTCAAGGTGGCGGTGTGGCATTGTCATGGCCTCCAACGTTTCGAAGCGCGCAACATTTCGTGCTACTCTACACGTACGGAAAGTGTTTTTGCCCGAAGGTAAGAACAAGCTTCTTGTGCCTTTCCATACAAACCGTTAGCCAAGAGCGGGGTGATATGAAAGCTGTTCACGTAAATACTTTGGCGGCGGCGATATTCCCAAGGTAGAGGAAACCAAGGTGGGGCTGAGGGCTGTCCCACACATTTGTTTTCGGTTCATTGTTTGAGATGGAGGAAGGTTCTGTGCACTTTAGAGCGGTTGGTCGTATCCACCGCTTTGAACCGTGATCCACCAGTCTGAAAAGTTATTCATGGGCTAAACAAGAACTCGTGGGGCACGCCCTCAGCACCACAGTACAGTAGCATAGCATGCCAGAAATGAGTACAGCTGATCCGAAAGAGTTCATTGCGACGGCGATATTCCTAAGGTAGGGGAAATCAAGTTGGAGCTGAGGGCTGAGGGTTTTGTTTTTGGTTCATTATTTGAGATGGAGGAAGGTTCTGTGCATTTTAGAGAGGTTTGTCGTATCAACCGCTTTGAACCGTGATCCACCAGTCTGAAAAGTTTAGTTATTCATGGGCTAAAAAAGATCTCGTGGGGCACGCCCTGACCGCCACAGTACAGTAACATAGCATGCCAGAAATGAGTACAGCTGATCCAAAAGAGTTCATTGCGAGGGTTTGGATGAGATCCAGCCAGCCTAGGGATTGTCACAACAACTCTCGCCTCGCAGAGCAGAGACTACTGCCATTTCATCCATCCAAACTCTTCACACCTGTAGCTGAGGGTTTTCTGCTGCTGAACCCTAGACTCCCGCCGCTGTGTTTTAGTCTTCGAGCACTCACTTCAGTCCCATTTTATCATCTAGTCGGAATGGCTGCTGCATCACCGATCGGTCAGCTGACAGACGATCTTCTCTCCGTTATTCTCCGTTTCGTCGGTCCATCCGACGGCGAGTTCCAGCACGCGCTTGTGTGCAAGAAATGGCATCGCATCGCCCGTAGCGTGCACGAGCACATCCATCTTCGCGAAGAGCGTCGCGTACGTCCTCGCGAGCTGCTCGCGCACCTCTCGTCATTCCCAGGGCTTCGAAAGCTCGTCCTCGCCACCAGCAGCATCACGTCCGTCCCTGACTCCCTCCTCTCGCGAATTGCCGACACGTGTCCAGATCTGACGGATCTCCATGTCGATAAGATGGATCGATGCTACAGGCTCGGGGGGTTCACGGAGGACGGGCTTTCGTATCTCTTTGAGAAATGCTCACGGCTGGAGGGGCTTTATCTTGATTGTCAGTCAAATATGACCGCCATTCCCGCTCCAATCGGCGGCCTTGCATCACTCAAGAGCCTGCACATCACTGACAGGGGGAGAATCGCTCTCCTTCCAGACGCGTTCACTTCGTTACAGGCACTCGCGCATCTCGTGATTGAAATGCACGGCCTGGATGAACTGCCTCAGCACTTCGGCAATCTGAGGCTGCTCAAGTCGCTCCGGCTAAAAGTCTGCCAGTCTCTCGTTTCCATTCCTGATTCTTTCGGGCAGCTTACCAACTTGACGCAACTTTCCATCTGGGGCTCAACAAGGCTTCAGCTGCCCGAGTCCATCTCCAACCTTTCATCGCTGCTGACCCTCGAAATTATCTACTGCCAAGACCTTTTACCGCTGCCCGAGAGGTTCGGGAACCTGCCGGCGCTTGAAACCCTACGTCTGGAGGATGTGGGGGGGATCACAAATCTGCCCGCGAGTCTCGGGCAGCTGGCTTCTCTAACAACCCTTGTCCTCGACCGCCTAGCACTCCACCATCTGCCTGACGACTTCGCTCTCCTCCCACGCCTACGCACGCTCGCGCTAGACGTTGGCATGGCCGTGCAGCTGCATCCCTCCGTATACCTCGCCACCACACTCAAAGAGCTCGCAATCGCAAAGTCTGAAACTCTACATTCTCTGCCCGAGGAATTCGGGCAGCTTACTGCCCTCGAGGCCCTGCGCCTAATTGAGCTTCCGCGGCTCAGCAGCCTGCCCGCGTCGCTTGGCGACCTGACGAGCCTCAAGGAGCTGAAAATCTTTTCATGCACGTTGCTGACGCAGCTTCCAGACTCGCTGACTCTTCTTTCTTCCCTCGAGTTGCTGGAAATCAGTTTCTGCGACAACCTGACGGTGCTACCACAGGGCATGGGGGGTGGTCTGTGTAGCCTGCGCGGACTGATTCTGCTCGAATGCCCAGCTCTCACCCACCTCCCGCCATCTTTCTCCAGCCTCTCCTCCCTCGAAACCCTAGAAATCCGTGATGCACACAGCTTAAGATTCGCGCTACCAGACTGGTTCTCCCACTCGACAAGCCTCAAGGAGCTCACTCTCTCCTCCCTGCCGCACCTGACCGCCTTGCCAGCCTCCCTCCCTGCCATCGCCCGCACTCTCACCAGCCTCGTGGTCGTCAGATGCACGCGAATAGAGGCGCTGCCAGAGGATATCGGACGGCTGGGATCGCTTAAAACACTCGAGCTCTGCGATCTGCCCAATCTGAAGTCGCTCCCTCGGTCACTGTTTCAGCTGCAGCGATTGAAGTCTCTCAAATTGTTTGGCTGCTACGCATTGGAGTCGCTGTTTGAGGATGAGGACTCGGGGGATGAGGACACGGGGGATGCACACACGGGGGATGCACACACGGGAGCTGCCGGGGATGACCTTGCGGGGAGAATCACCCGCCTCAAGTTACCCAGTCACACGGGCAGCAGTGCCGCTGGCAGCTGTGGGGAATCCGCGGAGGGTGGGACGGGTGTGTGGCTTCCATCCCTCGAGGTCCTTCGGCTGGTGAATCTTCCCCTGCAGCAGCTCGGTTCATCGCTGGGCTGCTTTTCATTGCTAACCAGTCTGGAAGTCAGCGGCCTGAATCGGCTTCGCTCGCTCCCGGACTCCATCTCTCGCCTCTCTCGCTTGCAGTCACTCACAATCAGTTCTGCGGATAGCCTGCTTGCTCTGCCAGAGACAATAGGGCAGCTCTCAGCTCTCACGTCCCTCTATATTACTGATGCCATGAGCTTGACTGCTCTGCCTGAGTCATTCGGGCAGCTGAAAAAGCTTCAGTCATTCCAACTTAGCAACAGCCCGGGCCTAACCGGGCTTCCCGAGTCCTTCCCTGGTCTCTGCAGGCTGGAGTCGTGTTATTTGTACGAGGTTGGAATTTCATGCCTTCCAGGTGACTTCTGGAAGCTCTCTGCTTTGAAAAGCCTCTCTCTGGTGTCACTGCCCAAACTCCGCAGCCTGCCCAAATGTTTTTCGCAGCTGCCCGGACTGGAGGAGTTGAACCTGCGTGGGTTCAAGCGGCTGGCTCAGTTGCCCGCGGGCCTGCAGCAGATGGGGAAGCTGCTGGCATGCGTTGTCTCTGAGTGCCCGCTGCTGTCAAGGCGGAGAATGGTGATCCATGGTGCAGCGAACCTGGACGAGGGAGAGCGTGCAGTGGGTGGCGAGGAGGACGAAGATTACTTGGAGGAAGATGAGGAGGAGGAAGATGACTCGGAGGAAGATGAGGAGGACGAAGATGACTCGGAGGAAGATGAGGAGGAGAAGATGAGGAGGAAGATGACTCAGAGGAAGTTGAGGAGGACTCTGAGGAGGAGGAGCGGAACGAAGGGGAGGAGAGTGAAAGGGAAGTAGAAGGGAGTGAACAGGACGAAGAAGGGAGTGATTTATAGGGTGGAGATGAGAGTGATGGGAAGCATGGAGAGGGGAGTGAAGGGGAGAGGATTGGTGGGGGGGGGAGGGAGGTGGAGTGAGATGGAGATGATGAGGAGGAAGGCAAGGATGGGGAGGTGATGGAGGGGGGTGGGGAAGAGATGAAATAGTAAGTGGAAAAGGGGAATAGGAGGTGGGAGGTATGGGCTATCAGTGTCATTTCATCCACGTGACTATATTAAGTTGGTGCTCCTGCTTTGTTGGTGGATAACGTGTTGCATTTAGGCGTTTATTCAATGTTCTTTCAACCCGGTTAGGTTGCAGAAATTGTCAATAACATACCGTACCTGGGTCAATGTGCTACCGTCATCGCCCGGATATAAGACATATATGTCTTATCTCGTACACGGGCAAAAATGCTTGAGTTATCTTGTAAACGGGATGGTTTAGGGTGTCTTATAAGTCTTATAAATGGAAACTTTTTAAACTACTTAGAAATATTTTCCGTACTTCTTGAAAAAGAGTTCCTCATAATGAGTGTGGATGTTGCGAAGGTGCCACTTCGGCAACCACTGCCCGGGACGCCACGTCATGGAGAACACCTGCAGAGGCAAATTTGGTAGGTCCTGGGTCAGCGCGTGGAAGAATTCGCGCTTCGCAAGGGTAAAAATGTACGCGTTATTTCAACTTTCGCTATAATATATTGAAGTTTCGATTATAAGACACATATGTCTTATCTCGTACACACAAATAGGTGTCTTATAATGAGGCTAGCCTGTTTATAAGAGACACCCGTATAGTAGACAACCCCTGTCTACTATTCAACACTGTCTTATATCCGGGCGTTTACGGTATTAACCTGGTGAGGGAAGCTAGGAAAACAAAACCACCAAGGTGAGGTGACTCAAACTCAGGAGAGCACACATGAACATGATACATACAGTAGTGGATCCATAACAATTTATACGGTAGCATAGGGTAAATTCAAAAATCAATGTCATAAAACCTCAGTTACACTACTACCGTAGCCTTTACCATAGAATCAACAAGCACAACACAAGCAGCTGTAGCCGTTGCTGAAGTGAGGCTGACACATACGGTAATGTCAACAAGGAGCAGATGAGATAGGGCACCGTGCAGATGGTGGGGCAGATTGACTGAGAGGCACGGCATTGGATGAGAACGGGTGCAGATGGGTGGGTCAGTGCCTGCCAGTCTTCACTTGTGCCAACGAGCTTGATGCACCATCCCTGTTCCGGCTGGAAAGAGGGAGGTCCAAGAGGGAGGAATTGAAGAGACGGGTGGTGAGGTGAGGAAAATGGTGAGCAATTAAGTCATGGCTCACGGGTTTGAGAAAAAAAGGCATGCATCAGGTGAGGGAATGCAAGTGTGTGCATGTAACTGTTGGGGACGTCGGATATTGCTTTGAACGTCCTCCCTTCTTTGAAATCATGCACTTCAGCATCTCCTTGCAATGCATTGTCTCCCAGCTCATCACACACACACCACGACGACCACCCCATCCTCCCATGTGCTAGTGCCTGCAAGCACGCCCATTCATGCCTGATGCTCACCTCGAGTGGTTCGGGCATTGGCGCGGGAGCCAGCAGCTGCGAACAAACCATTCCGCCGTGTGGCAATGATCCTGTTGGTGCGGGCGGCCGTGGTAGTGTTGGTGCGGATAACAGAGGTGACGGTGGTGCCGGTGGTGTGGGTGGCCGTGGTAGTGTTGGTGCGGATAACAGAGGCGTCAGTGGTGCAGGTGGCGTGGGCGGCAGAGGTGCTGTTGGCGCGGGCGGCGGTGGTGCTGGTGGTGCGGGCAGCAGGGGTGCCGGTGGTGCGGGCAGCAGGGGTGCTGGTGGTGCGGGCAGCAGGGGTGCCGGTGGTGCGGGCAGCAGGGGTGCTGTTGGCGCGGGCAGCAGTGGTGCCGGTGGTGCGGGCGGCAGTGGTTCTGCTAGTGCGGGCGGGAATGGTGCTCGTGGTGCTCGTGGTGTGGGCGGCAGTGGCGCCGGTGGTAGTGGCAGTAGTGGTGTTCCTAGTACGGGTGGCAGCGCCTCTGGTGATGCGGGTGGCAATGCTGCCAGTAGTGCGGGCGGCAGAGGTGCCGGTGGTGCCGTTGGTGCGGGTGCCAGTGGTGGCGGTGGTCTGAGGTGCCAAAGCGGATCGGGTGGCAGCTTTGGAAGTGGCTCGAGTCATGATGCGAGGAGCAGTCAAGGTTGTAGCACGAGTGGCAGCAACAGGTTGAGATGCACGGTGAGAATGACGATCTGTAGCACAAGGAAACGCACGAGACAGGTGCATGGGGACAAATCGCATGAACATGAGTATGGGAACAAGCATGGAAGATGAAAGAACACGGAATGAGCATGGGCCAAAGGATGGGTATGCACTATGGCATGTGATGTGCGATCTCATGTGGTGGGACCACATCAGTTTCAAGCCCCCATTTAGAATGGCTGACTTTAGAATTTTATAGCTTGACCGAATATGGGAAGTCAGTAGAGGAGATTATGGAAACTTTAGTGAGAATAGACTGCACTCGCCACACTCCCTTGTTTTTGAGGCACCAAACTGTGACTGCAGTGGGATGACAAGCAGCAACAGCAGAGGCATTACAGTGAGAATCAGTGGGCTCCCTTGTTCCCCTCCATCGCAGCCTCTTGCAATTTCTCACCTGCTCCCCCCTCTCCGCTCCCTGCTATCATTTCCCCCCTCACCTATGTCAACCTTCTCTCCTCTTCTCTGCCCTGCTCGCTGCTCTAGAAACCGAATTTGAGCCCCCCCTCACTGCTGCCCCTATGTACCAATTCACCGCTCGCTATCAATCTTCTGTTCCCCTCTCTGCCCTTTCCCACTCTCTCTCCCCTTTACTCTCCCAGCATTCCCAACCCCCTTCTCCGCAACCTCACCTACCCCTCAGCGCATACCACTCTCTTTGCCAACCTCCCCCCCCTCCCTATTCCAACCAGTCACCACCACCTCACTCTGCCAACCTCCTCTCCCCCCACACCTACCCCCTGTCTTTTCCGAGTATTTTATCCTCTATTCTAACATTCGCCCACTCTCCGCCAACCTTCTCTCCCCCTCTTTGTCAAACCCCCGTCACCACCATCCATCCCTCCCCGTCCCCCACCCCCCCTCTCCGCCAACCTTATCCTCTCTGCCAACCTTTCCCCGATTCAGTCACTGCAAAACTTCCCCATTCTCCTCTGCCAAAATCCTTCACTCTCTGCCAGCCTCTCCCCCTCTCTCTGTGCCAACGTTCCCTTCTCTCTGTGCCAACGTTCTCCTCTTTATTGCAACCCAATACTGCCTGTGTGCCCTCCCCCATCCCTGCCAAGCTTCCCTTCTTCCCCCCCTCTGCCACCCTCCCCCCTTTCTCAAAACCCCTATTTGGAATGCAGGTTACCTGTGGAGGTGGTATTACGTCGAGCAGTTTTTGCAGTAGAGCGATGGGCAGGAGAGGCCGTTGCAGGAAGCCCAGCAATGGCTGTAGACTGAACCGCAAAAACGATCAATTGGGGGAGAAGAAGAAATTGTGAGAGAATAAAAGAAAGCCACAAACACAAAAAAAGCCAGAGATTCGATTGTCACTGTAGTAGAAACTAGAGCTCCAATGTGGGGGCTAACTTGGTTCTCACCCAGACTGATCCGGTCTCAGCCAGGCATATCTGGTTCTCACTGGGTTGATCCGGCTCCACCCATATTAAGAAACCTCTGCAAGAAACATGGTAGCCGGAACGCTTGATGCAAGCAGCACCAGTGGAACACAAGTCGAGGCTTACATGGTTGGCACAGTTTCCGATATCAACTCCGTCGCCCCGATTCCCTTCCTCGCTGCCTTGCATCATCCCCTCCTCTGCTCCTTCTTCAGCGTCCCTCCCCTCGTCATCCTCCCTCCCCTCTTCAACCTCCCTCCTTTCTTCAGCCTCCCTCCCCTCTTGTGCATCCCTCCCCTCTTGTGCCTCCCTCCCCTCTTGTGCCTCCCTCCCCTCTTGTGCCTCCCTCCCCTCTTCAGCCTCCCTCCCCTCTTCTGCCTCCATTGTTGTGTCAACGTCAGCTTGGATAAACAACGAGTAGAAATGCCCCTACAAGACACATTACGGACAAGGAAAGGGACGTGGTTCAACTTGATAAGAAGTAGATACAACGTGGTGCCTTGCAAAACATTCATACTGATTTCATGCGGTTTAACTTCAAGAGTTATGCCACCCACCAATAGAGATGGAGGCCGTGTTACCGAGGTTGGTGGTAGAACGCACCTGACTGCAAGTGTAGTGTGCGACACCGAGGGGTTGCGTGGTGATTCCGTTGCTGGATTCCAGGTTCGTACGAGAGTTTGCGTATGACTCTCCACGACTGTCCCACACCTGCCAGCCACATGATTCTGCCGGTGTCTCCACTTGATCAAATAGGGAAACTGAAACTTCTTATATAGGGGAATCGCACTTCTCATGCATATTTTCCAAACTCGACAACGAGGTACACACACCTTAGACGAGCAGAAGCGGCAGGACTCATCTTGTATGAAGGGGCGCTTACAAAGCGAATCATACGACCTGCAAATTGCATGGACAGAGAGGCCATTCTTATGAGGACGACGAAAGCAGTAACAATTGTTCAAATGCCACACCTGTCCCGACCAACACTGTTGCACCCTATGCCTTCCTACCAAGCGCACGTGGTACCCAAATCGTAGCTGAAATATAGTGGCATGTCATGAGGGGAAAGAGCACAACGCAGCTTACATCCAGGTAAACTCGCTCTTTATATTCGTATGGCTGACCCCTCCCATTCTTTCCCACATTACCTGCCCAGGTTGAGCTGTGCTGTCCTTCGCCCTAAACCCTCCTTCGCCCTACGGTTGTAAAAAAGTTCTTACCGCTTACTCTTGAAGTTAACGTGAAGTCCGTGATGCAAAAGATAATCCTTGCTTCTGTGCGATCGGGTCAGGTAGTAGCGGCACGTAAAGAAGAGTGTTGTAGTCAGGAAGATGTGCATGATGTTATAACGTAAGCGCGGTTCATCACTGTCACGCTCGTCCCCGTCCTCTGCACGCGGCCATCCCCTCACGACGCCTTGGCGCCAGTGGATAAGTTGAGCGAGTGCTCTAAAGTCGACGCTATGCATTCCCTCTAGGATGCAGCGAAATGATTTGCGTGACAATGCTTCAATAGTTGAGACCTCGTTATTTTTGCTCTTCAAGCGGGCTGCCCTTGTATCGTCAGAGAGTTGGTCCTCATGGAGCTTGGAGAGTCTCTCCAAGCAGTGCAACTGCCATATTGACTCTTTGGCGATGCGATCGAACGTCTTCGAAACGCACGCCATCCGCGCAAAGACGCGAGGCCCCGCTGGCTCGGCGCGGCGAAGAATGGCGTAGAGCAGGTCGGGCGGAAGAGTCTCCATTGTGGATGAGAAGTAGCGATACCGTAGCGACGGGGAAAGAATAGTGGCGACTGATGCAGAGAAAAATACACGGAATTTTTGAATCCAAGGCTAATGGCTGTGACGCTGCGTTCGTATGGAAGGCAAAGCGCTGTTGGAGGGAAGCGGTAAAAGGGGTGTATCAGTGTCAGCAGGAGCTCGCGGGAGTGACGATCAGGCTGCGGTTTGACGGATCCTACAGCGAGCCTGGGGAATTTGGCGACCAGGCGAAGATGCATTTCCGTGCCTAATCGCGCTGATGTGGCTCGAGACTTCATCGAGGCGACGAAAGGTTCGCCACACCGCGAGAGCGCTGGCAGATTCTAGGGCCATAGAGAGCTGCGAGGCGGGAAAGGTACTCTATGTAGTCGATTCTCGAGAGCACTATCGGTATTCTCTGTTGCTAGCTTCGCGGCACTGGGAATTGCAAAACGGAAAGTCGTCTCATGGCGGGAAACTCATCAAGGGGAAATGTATGCATCAGCTCTAGAGCTGATACCAAGTGTTAGGCCCGACGGCCTAAGTCTGCTAAAGAATTAGCGGGGTCGACTAAGTCGAGGATAAAGCGCGGCGGAAGGCTTTGGCGAAAAGACTATTGGCGAAATAGGCGAAGAAGTTACTGAGTAATTGAAAGAGAGTTGAATGAGAATTGGTTGATATTGGTGGATACAAGCAAGGTTGATATAGCATGCAAGAGCAATTGTGGGAAAGTGGTTTGTGGGACTAGGAATTGTAGTGCAAGAAAAGTAGAGTGCCACGTGGCACTAGGAAATCTAGGAAGATAAGGATAAGGGTGAGTTGGAAAGTACTGTTCGGAATGAACAGTAAACACCCCTCTAACACTACCCCCCTCCCAAGGAGGCGACATCCACGACGCCTGCAGACTGAAGGTACGCTTTGAGGCAAGCGTTGTCAGGAGACAGCGAGGACGAAGGAACCCAGCTGTCGTCGGCTGCGTCGTAATCACGCCAACGAACCAAGAAGTCGATGAAAGAGACACCTCCCTGCAGACGGCGACGGTGCCTGAGGATGCGCTGGATCTGGTAGTCGGGCTCGTCGGTGTCAACAGCTACCGGCAGTGGAGTGCGATCACGGCCCGAGAAGGTGGAGTTGGGATCGGTGTATGGACGAAGGAGAGACACGTGGAATGACGGGTGCATGCGGAAATGAGCGGGAAGGCGAAGGCGGTATGCGACTGGACCAAGTGCGCGCTCAATGACAAATGGACCAATGAAACGTGGGCGAAGCTTGCCGTCCTGTGGCAGTCGGAGGTTGCGGCTATCGAGAAGGACACGGTCACCGACTGAAAAAGACACCTGTCGACGACTGCGGTTGGTGGTGCGTGCCATGCGTGCATTTGCAAGCTCAAGGTGCTTCCTCACATGGTCGTGAATGAAGGTGAGGTGCTGGTGGAAATTGTCCGCACGAGGGACAGTGGGTGTGAGATCGACTCGAGTGGGGACATTGGGGTGCTGACCGTACAGTGCGAAGAACGGTGACATGCCTGTGGCGGAGTGGTGCGTGTTGTTGTATGCGAACTCTGCCATGCTCAGCTTCTTGTCCCATGCGGCTGCGTCGTGCATCATAATGCTGCGAAGAATCTGCTCCAAAGTCTGGTTCACACGCTCGGTCTGTCCGTCTGTCTCTGGATGGTACGCAGACGACATGGCTAAGCGAGTCCCAAACAGTGCGAAAAGCTGCTTCCAGAACTTCGAGGTGAATCTA